CTTTCTGTATTTGTAGTTTCAACCAATCATTCCTTATGTATTTGTAGTTTCAACCAATCATTCCTTATGTATTTGTAGTTTCAACCAATCATTCCTTATGTATTTGTAGTTTCTCCTTCTACTTCTCAATGTCTTTCAAAACAATGAAACTTGCATTTCTTTAATATGTTTAATAGTGTATTTTAAAAGTTCGTTTTGGGATTTGTACATTATTTTTAAGGATCCTGTGTCAGTTTTGGACTTACAACTTACAGAGAAAAGATAGCCTATTGTGTAGCTTTGTACTTAAATACAAACAAACCATTTTGAAAAAAAAAATGTTTCTTATTATAGTAACATCTATGTTAACTTTATTACTTGCAAATCAGTTACAAATACACTGTTTAACTGCATCTTTTTTTGTTTGTCACATATATTCTACAATGCTCAGAGTTTTATGAATTCTATATCACTAAATTAGTTTTAGTTGTCTGCAAGAAATTTAAATTGTTCTGATCATTCTTTATTTCTGCTACTATAAAATAGTTTTTGTTTTAACTTGTAGGTTTGGAGAGCTGCAGCAGAACAGTTATTCTTTTCTCTCAGTGTCTCTTGGGGTGGCTTAATTATGTTTGGAAGCTACAATAGATTTCAGAACAAAGTTTACAAGTAAGCATTGTGATACAACCCTTAAGTAATTCAAGTGCTCATTTCTGTACGTACGGAGGACGTTTTTATAATTAGCAAAGAAATAAAAAGCAAATGAGACAAAGTAACTTTCCATATATTTTATGATTAATTGATTTACACATTTACTAGGTTTATAACTGTAACAAACTTATTTCTTTAGTTTAATCAAAGCCAAAACCAGTGTATTTGTAAAAGTTACAAAATTCTAATCTTGTTAATGCTAATACGATTCTTCGTATCCAAGCTGTACTGCTTGTAGACATTCCCACTAATGTTAAAAGTGATTTTATGGTCCTTTTTTTTTACAGGCACTATATTACCAAACACAATACAGCTCTTCATTGTTGTACACAGAAAAGAACTGCTAATGCAAATCAGTTGGATAAAAGCGTTGTAAAGTCGTTTGGTAAAAAAAAATCATTTCAAGCTAAAAAACTGCTGATTTCCATGATATATTGTAGAATGTGTAGGTTTCAATTGCTGACTTATGGTACCTGATAATATTTATTATCTTGAGACATGTTACACAGACCAGGCAACTGAAGCCTATACAACTGCAAGAAATAGTTTGTTTTTTAATTAGGTTGGCATCATAGTGTCTGATTTAATTTTTTTTTTAAATTAGGGATGCCATGTTTGTCAGCTCTCTAGACTTTATAACTAGTTTAATAGCAGGTGTTGTCATTTTTTCTGTCCTTGGGAATATGGCTGAAGAATTAGACTTGGATATCAGGAATGTTGCCAAGGAAGGTTAGTAGTTAACTTCAGAAATATTATTATTTATGCTAAACATATTCAGGATTGTACTTATTAATAATTGTGCCAAATACTATACAGTAAAGAAATGGGAATACGGAAGTAACATTAAGCTCGGCTTCAGAAAAATCTAGCTATAAATATGAGAACATACTTTGATTATTTAAAGTTTGTTTAGGTTGTGTTTTTGCACATATCTTTATATTATTTTGGGCTGAGAACAACCCAATTAGTGTGCCTGACTATGGAGTTGTAACTTATAGTAAAAAACAGCTTACAAATTAAAACTCTGCCAATCTGAAATGGAAATGCCAGCTCTTCCATGATCATCAAAGTCCTTTAATTTGTAGTTTTAGTTCAAAATAAAAAAGTTCAAAATCTACATTAGAATTGCAATTCTAACCATATTTTATAGAAATTATGAAAAAAGTTGTTAACATTTGAGATGTGTTTTTTATCCACTGTAGGTCCAGGATTAGCATTTATTGCATATCCTGAGGCCTTATCTCGGCTTGAGTGGCTACCACAGCTGTGGTCTGTTTTGTTCTTCTTTATGTTATTTCTTCTGGGACTTGATAGTGAGGTGAGTGCACAAGAAGGTAATTTCTCAATTTCTGAGCCAGATAAGAAGCATAAGTTTTATATAGGTTACTTATTTTTACACTGTAAAGTAATGTATGAAAAATGGTTAACACTGAAACACTAAATAATGTAGACTGGAAACATAAGTTTCATATAGGTTACTTATTTTACACTGTAAAGTAACGTATGAAAAATGGTTAACACTGATATACTAAATAATGTAGATTGGAAACGTAAGTTTCATATAAGTTACTTATTTTTACATTATAAAGTAATGTATGAAAAATGGTTAACACTGATACACTAAATAATGTAGATTGGAAACATAAGTTTCATATAGGTTACTTATTTTTACGTTATAAAGTAACGTATGAAAAATACAGAATCAGATGAAACTGTATCAAGAGTCTCCAGTGGAGTAGGTACAGGTACATCAGGTCCATGAACAACAGGTCTTATAGCAGATTGAAGCTTCTGATAAGAAATTTCCTTTTTATTTTGAGTGTTGTAGCCTTGCATGAGCAAAAATAGCAGTTATCTCCATGGTTTCTAGGCTCATTTCAGACTTCTCGAATTCCAAAAGGCAAATATTTTTTCTTACCTTTAGTCCATTGTCTCAACTCTTCGACACAAATGCTGCAAGCTTTTTGCGGAGCCCATGATTTGTCTTGGTTCCCAAGTTTTATTCCAAAGTATGCATAATACACTTTTCTGACAAATTCTGTAATGTGTTGCCTTTGTTTTTTTTTACCACAAGTATAACAGAATATGTTTGGGTCATTTACACAAACCTCTTGTTGCCATTGCAATGAATATATAATATTGAAAAGAAAAAAATAACATCAAAGTGCATGCACAAACAAATACTATCCAGAAATGACACATCATGAGGCCTGTTAACCATTTAGATACTTGTGACGTGTTCTAGAAAGATCGATAAGACTCTCACGTCGCGATTGGTCTAGAGAAATCTATAGCCAGTTGTTGTCAACATTTTAAACATAACAAAATTTAACCTGATTTCAATAAAAATGATTCACTTATGTAAAAGTACATATGTTTTGTGAAAAATCTGGAGAAAAATGGATACCATTTTTGGACTTAGCATACAGGAATTACTATAGAACATTTCAAGACAATAAAACCATTGCAAGCCTGTGTATATCAAGATGTATAATTACTCCATTGGAAGAAAATTGTTGTTCTTAATCTGATAAGATTCTTAATCTTCTTAAGAGTTCTTAATCTTAATCTGAGTACAAGAACTGTAAGATATAGTGTTAGATTCATTTTGTCAGTTGTACGGTTCAACTTATTTCAGTAACACTTAACACGATTCATTACGTATTATATTTATTTTGCAGGTAAAACAGTCTGTATATATGCCTCTTCTAATACAGGTTTGTTTTCTGTTAGTTTGCTCTTCTGGAGACATTTCTGACAGCTGTTTACGATGAATTCCCATCCTCACGCAGACATAAAGTTCCTATTACTCTCATTTGTTGTATTATCTGTTATTTCCTAGGATTACCTTGTGTCACACAGGTAAGTGAGATGTGCTTTTCAGGTAACACTAACTATAACAACACGTGTTCAATGTGTTCTAAATATTTTAAAATATTCAAAATTTGATACATTTGTAACCCACCTAACAGGCTCATCCATGCGTGTTGTAAAGTGACCAGGAATACTAAAAGTCAGCTTAGTTGTGTTAAACATCCTGCCTAGTATGTTTAGTAAATTTTTCTTTTTATTACATTTAACGTGTTTAATTAGTAATAACATTTATACTATTTATCATACAATTTCAGTTTTGTTATACATTTAATTTCTTATCTTCATAAACAGTTTTTTTTGGTATACTATCTTAATTGTTCCGTTACTCGACTATAGATAAACAATAACGTGTTATAATAATTTATCTTGGATGTTAAACTACACTGTCAGAGTCATTTAATGGGTTTTCATTGGTCACTAGACATTCTTATGGAGGATTATGTAAAGTTTTGTGTACACTGACTCCTAGTTTTTCAAAGAACATAAAATCTATGATAGTTCATTAAGCAAACTATTAGTATGTGTTTGTTTTGTAAATAAGTAATTTCTAATCTTTCCTTAATGCTACTTTCATTAACAGTTTTGGTTATAGTGTTTAACATACATATTATTTGTTACTATATTGTGTTTTATTGTTATAAATGGATTTAGTACTAGCCTTAATTTCCTAAACTGCCTGAACCTCGTGAGATTTTATTGGGTTTATATTCTAAGCATTACATGTAAGAACAATAAGTTATATTAACTATATTCAGTAATGGGTTGATTTTTAATTCTGCTGTAAGTAAGTAACTTGGTTTGATCTGAAGTTAATAATAAAGAAATTTCCATTTGTTTCGTGTCTCACAAAAAAAAAAGAAGAAATTAAAATTGATAATTAAAAGAACATATCAATTATTTTTACTTCATATATAAGGTGTTTTTTTAATTATTTGGCTTCTCAGGGAGGACAGTATGTTTTGAACCTCATGGATACTTATGGGGGCGGGTATGGTGTGACATTTATTGCCATCTGTGAACTAATTGCCCTTATGTGGGGTTATGGTAAGTGATTATATGTAGCTCTGATATGACTGTTTGTGTAATTCTGTTTTTGAACCATTCATAAGTTGGTGTAATTTGTTTTAGGTTTTTTTTTGAGTTTGAAGCCAATCAGCTAAAATTAACATTAGGTTTCTTCACCTCTAAGAGTGGTAATATGAAGCCACTCACAGTTTCACTGAAAGGTAGTCTGTATCATCAACCTAATGAGAGTCAACACTTGTTGAAACTGCTAGTCCTTAAATCGTCCTTTAATGACAGAAGTAGATCTGAATCGGTGTAATTATATTTCTTTAAGGTCTTAGTTTTCATTTCAAATTAACTTTTTGTTACATCATTATTCGTACGAATAATAAAGCCTAGTTTAATAAATGGTAAAAGCCCTTAGAAAGATTAGAAGTCACAAAGAGATTGTAAGGAAAGAAATATATTTCTTCTGAGATGATAACTCACTTTTTTTACACAGATTAGTTATCTTCCTCTGTGCATCTCGAAAAAGACTTACATGCCACTAGCCTTGAAGTAACTCCCACCTAATTTTATGTGACTTTACATGAATTACACCACTGCATGATGATGATGTCATCATGCGACAAACTTCCATGCACAAAAACTCTCCTGTGTATTTGCAATCGTGGATGTTAATTTTTTCCTTGGCGCTGTAGAGCAATGACATGTTCAAATTTCATGTCTGTGTTCAATTTATTGAGATTTGCTTCATTAACAAAACTTTGATTTTGTCTTCTTTAGCATTCATTTCAAATGCTTTAAAATGTCAGCACTAGACAGGTTTTTTTGCCCACTTCTCTGGTTCGTGCTTGCTGGCTTTAAAAATAGAGTTTTCGAATGTCTCCAGTAAAAGACCTTTCAAGACTGAAAGACAAATGAGGATCTGGGCAACTTTTCTGGGTATTCTCAACATGAACTATCCCACCCTCCTTCTTTCAGTTAAGTATGGCAGACCCTTGCCACTTATCAGTTTTTAGCCACTGGGGTGGTGGACCATGGAGGATACTCACTGATTGGAACATAATCACTGGAGCTAGGACAAGGAGTGCCAGTATGGTGAGAAGTGTGGCAGTGGTTACACCATTGGTGTAGTTCATCATTAATGGCACATGTAATCTCCTCCTGCAGCAG